CGCCCCCCCGGCCGCGGCGTGCCCCTGCCTCAGGCGAGGCTCGAGGGCCAGGACCCCCCCCGGCCAGGGTGGCCCAAGTGGTCCCCCGTCCTTCCCGCTGGACGGGAGCGCGGGGGAAGGCGGTGGGAGGCCGGCGTTGCGCGGGCGGCTCTGGGCGATGGGCTGCGCACGCTGACCCGGCTTCTCCCCCCCTCCGAACTTGCAGGAACGCGCTGATGTTCAATAACGAGCTCATGGCTGATGTTCACTTCATCGTGGGCCCACCAGGGGCATCCAGGAAAGTTCCTGCCCATAAGGTTTGTGCAGATAGTGTTGTACAGATCCCCTTCTCCCTCCCCCCCCCTTAAAAGTAGGGTTACATTTTTCCTAATTACGGATCTTGTCTCTTTATGTACATCTTTAAAAAGAAAGCTGCCTTAGACAGCTCCGTGTCTCAACTGCAGCTTTTAAGTTTCCCTAAGTATAGCTCTCATCAAAAGCTAGCACCTTCAGTTATTACTGATACATGTAAGGCTTCTCTCTCTTTATTTTACAGTATGTTTTGGCAGTTGGTAGCTCTGTCTTCTACGCTATGTTTTATGGTGATCTTGCAGAGGTCAAATCTGAAATCCATATACCAGATGTGGAACCTGCAGCCTTTCTAATCCTATTAAAGTAAGTGTCTACTCGTTATGTGGACATCATGAGCGAATAGTGAGTAGACTCACTACGAGTCTACTCGTTATGTGGACATAATCAAAGTACTTACAAAATATCTCTCTCTCCAATGGCATTGTGCAATACACGTTATTGTTTACTTAGCGCACTGACAAATACTGAATGTCAGATTGCTCTCTGCCAGCAGATTTGACTATAGATTAATTTTGTGGCCTATATTTCATTTTCTTCCTAAGAAACCATCTGTTATAAATAAATATAGATAGATGTATCTTTTCCATCTAGATACATGTATAGCGATGAGATTGACCTGGAAGCTGACACAGTTCTGGCTACGCTGTACGCTGCCAAGAAGTACATTGTGCCGGCCCTAGCGAAGGCTTGCGTCAATTTTCTGGAGACAAGTTTAGAGGCGAAGAACGCTTGCGTCCTGCTGTCTCAGAGCAGGCTCTTTGAGGAGCCAGAACTGACGCAGCGCTGCTGGGAAGTGATTGATGCTCAAGCAGAAATGGCACTGAAGTCAGAAGGCTTCTGCGAAATAGATCAGCAAACACTAGAGATCATTGTAACCCGGGAGGCGCTCAACACCAAGGAAGTGGTCGTTTTTGAGGCTGTTCTCAACTGGGCAGAGGCTGAATGCAAAAGGCAAGGGCTGCCGGTTACGCCGCGGAACAAGAGGAATGTATTGGGAAAAGCTCTGTACTTGGTGCGGATTCCAACTATGACTCTGGAAGAGTTTGCCAACGGAGCTGCCCAATCTGACATCCTTACCCTTGAGGAAACTCACAATATATTCCTATGGTACACGGCTGCAAATAAACCCAAACTAGAGTTTCCACTGACAAAAAGGAAAGGACTCGTGCCTCAACGATGCCACCGCTTTCAGTCGTCTGCGTATCGCAGTAACCAGTGGAGGTACAGAGGGCGGTGTGACAGTATTCAGTTTGCCGTAGACAAACGGATATTTATAGCAGGACTGGGTTTGTATGGGTCCAGCTGTGGCAAAGCTGAATACAGTGTCAAAATTGAACTAAAACGCTTAGGAGTGGTCCTCGCTCAAAACCTGACAAAGTTTACCTCTGACGGATCCAGTAATACTTTCTCTGTATGGTTTGAACACCCTGTGCAGGTCGAGCAAGATACGTTTTACAATGTAAGTGCTATTCTTGATGGCAATGAACTCAGTTACTTTGGGCAAGAGGGAATGACTGAAGTGCAGTGTGGCAAAGTGACATTCCAGTTCCAGTGCTCCTCGGACAGTACTAACGGGACTGGAGTACAAGGAGGACAAATACCTGAGCTCATTTTCTATGCATGATGCGTTTCACTTTGATTGTTTTCCAATACTGCTATGCACACTAAGGGATTTTTCAGTTTTACTACAGAACACTACAGCAGTATGGAATGTTATGCTACTTACCTATCTACTACATCAGGCTATCAAATAAGTGAAGGAATGCTCTTGAATTTAATCTTATTTTATTTATTCATAAGCTATTTGACTTAATTAAGACTGCAACAAGCAGAAAAAAGGTTAAATGTTGCACGTACTGTGCATTTATTTTGTATATAGATAACTAACTTGCAGACTGCAGCTGACTTTAACAGAATGTTCTAAACTAGAGCAGTTTATCAATCTGAAATATAAAACATTTTTACTTGCCCTAAATTCTGTGTACTTGATCATTGCTGATCTTATGGCTTCTGTCTGTTAATCTATCTGCTGTTAACAATAGTGATAATGCCATAGTCCGGCCCCTGTGTCGAGCAACAGAAGGCACACCTATCACCACAAACGTAGAGGTTCCCCAGCCAGGTACCTGAAACTATCCTACTGCAGGAAGGAGGAAGCTGTCGCACGTGGAGACTCAGGCTTTTCTGTGTGTGTTGCCTAAGCTGAAGACATAGACAAGAAACTTGAGTGTAACCAAAGTTGATTAAAGGCATCCTGTGGTTATATCTGAAACCTTAAGATGTCCATTCATACTTATGCTTTTGACATCTTCTGCATGTACTGGTTGCTAGGCCATTTGAGGTTACTTGCCCCTGTTAAACTGCAACAGACTTGAACAGCCAGAGTCAAGACATATAGCTGAAGCCTAATACAGTGATGGGTTTGCTCGTGGCCAGTTCAGCCAAGAGCTATAATACTGACAGCCCCAAATCTAAATATGCATCACATTTAGGAGCAGACATGGGAGAAATACCCAAATTCACTCAGTAAATACTAATACTTAAGTTCACTCAAAATTACAAATTATGAGACGCCACCTTAAAAGCTGTTGCATCTTTTTTCCTGTAGCAACAGACATCACCCCTCCTATCCATTATCAGTTATAATTTTATAGCTAAACATATGTCTTTCTCAGAGTGGTAAAAGTAGGCATTTTCCTGAAGTATCTGACAGTCCTCCTTACAGATGAGCCAATGGGAAATACTGAGCGTTTTACAAATTTCTTGCAATGACCTTGGAAAGAATAATGACAGAGCAGTCTAGAACAATGCTTCCCCCCCCATGCATAATAGGTATCTCCATGTTTAATTTAGAAGGAAGGAGGGTTGCCTGCGTTCTCCTGCACTGCTGTATATCATTAATTTTCTCCTTGAAACTAAACTGCAATGAAATTCTTCTTGTTCTCACTTAAGAACAAGAAAGCGACAATGAAAAACAGGAAGGGAACTGAATTCTTGAAAACAAGGGCAACTTTTTACTGTAAGCCAGCGAGCTCACCATGATGGCCGATAGCTGTTCCCTGCCATATACTATCTGGATACTGTTAAGACGATGCTTAGTATGTGCGAGGCTAGTGCTCTTGCTGGAAACTAAGAGAGCAGGAATATGTGTGTGTGTGTGTGTTGTTCTTGAGTACAAAGACAACCGATTCTCTAAAAACGGACTGAAGAGAGTGGGAGTGAGAGTGGGTAAAGATACAGGAGAAAAAGTCCTGAACAGAGGTGGGTAATAGTCACAAGACCTCTCTAGAAACTTGCCCTTTTCACTGGAATTGGCATGAATTCCCTTGGCTTAAAAGCTACAAAGTTTAGCAGAGTATTGAAATGTGATGAGTATGCAGTATTGCCTAGGGTATTAGCACCAAATCCAGCTTTTAACGCAGTAAAAACTGCCCTCCTATCACAAAGGAGGTTATTGTTTCAATTATGACATTACTTAGAAAGTTACCAACGTACTTGCAAAAAGTTGCTCCTCATTTTCCATCAGGCCACTTGTATTTCAAGTGCTGATCATCTCACCTTACAGGTGACAGAAGAATACTAAGTTGGGCAAATATTTATCTAACGTTGCATCTTTGTCAAACTGAAGTTCGACAGGCTTGTGCAAGCTTGTAGAAAAACACACATTTGTGATGTGTTTGCCCATTGTCTCATTATGGCCTAAACTACTCTCAGAAAAAGCAACACAATTAATTGTACAAGAGCATCTAGCTCCCAAAGAGTTTTCTATAAAGAACAGGTCCCCACAGTCAGCATCACTTTTATGACTGGACTGATTCCAGCTTCATTTTAAGTTACCTCTTTAGTGTATGACACACAATACTATAACATATACACACACACATATGTTTTTCAAAAGTAACCATGCAGAAAATATACCAAAATACTCAAAAGTCAACTCAAAAAAAATACCTATAGCTGGAGCATTTATGCAGAGTTCTCTGGCCAACAGAAGGAAGGTTTTTCCCAGCACATAGACATTCACCTATCAAAAGACAAAAAGCATTATTTAAATCTTAAACCACAAATATTTAAATGTTTAAGTGGAGAGGAAAAATTACTTTTGGAATCTTAAAACAGTCTGCTTTAAAAAAACATTGAAGTAATACAAAGTCATAGGTACAGAACAATACAGGTGCTTGTCAAAATCTGCACAACGCAGAATTAAAAATCAGAGCACAAGTTTATACTAAAAAGAATTACAAGAAGTTGTTCATAATGCTCTTCAGTGAACTATGTTGTTCTTAATTACTTGGACAACTTTTCAGTTGTCATCTAATACTTAAAGGCATTCAATAGACTTCAACATAGTATCAATATATATAAGCTGTCATTTATCTCATAATATAACAAAACCTGAGCAGCTAATCACAAGTTAGTGCAAATTTCAGCTCTGTATAAACATGTGAGGTGGGATAATTAAGCGCTGCACAACTGAACGCCCAACTTTTCCACCAAAGGAGGGAGTGGCACTATGTACCCAAAGGATATTTGTCATTTCTTATTGGCTGGACATTGCTTCAGCTCACCCTACGTAATAAAACGAAGCAAAACAAAACATGCTCGGACCCGACTGCTGAAAAGGCAGGCCCAGAGCCCTGCTCCCATCCCCTCCTTTGCTGCTGCGCTCGGGAGGGCGAGAGCAAAGGGGAGGAGTTCCTCTCCCTACTCTGCTTTGTACCTTATGGCATAGGCAACTACAGTTGCATTTTAAAGTCTGAAGAAGTTTTATTTCACTATTTTAAGAAGTGTTTTTGTGGCCGACAAGAAAGGCAGGATTTACTTCAGTTCCCGATGAGCCCCGAGTGTTCCCACGAAGCTCCATGCACACCTTGCTGCCCCAAGGCATATATAAAGGTTAAAGTCAGACGGTATAAAAAGCTCCAGCCTCCTACACTGTAAACAAATAGACTTTCCGTTTTCAGGATAGCGTATACTCTCTTGCTTTTACACAACAGAACTGCCCCTCTTTCCTATGCCAGGATAACGAAGGTGTTTACGAACCAGTCAACTGCACAACAGAGTTGGTGACTATTGTACCAGCCTGTGGAAAAACAAAACTCCCATTACTGGGTATTATAGTTCATTTTCACAAAAGGCCTTTAAAAAAACATTGGTTTAAAAGCAAGCTCTCCTCCCAAATGTGCAGCTGCTCCTACCAAGCTAGTTAAAATACTGACAAGTTTTCAGCTAGCCTTGCACTTAGAAGTTTTATGTGAACGTTTTTAACATGAATTTGTCTTTATGTGAACTCAAACAAAAGCAGAACTTCAAAGTCGTCTTTGGAATTATCGTATATCCTGAAAACGATGGTTCAGTCAAGTATAGATGATGTTAATTCACTCTGTATGTAGCAGAAAGTGTTAAACATTCTCCATACTTGGACTGACAATGGTGAGACTAGCCTAAAAGATACAAAATTATAGTCTTAAATTTTACCATCGTTTTTTCCCCCATGAAATGCCAGACAAGATCAAAATATTCTTCCATGGCAAGGAAGTGATCAAAATATACCCTTTGAACAAGGAGCGTATTTCATAGCTTTTACGTCACAGAAATTTATACGGGAGAATAAACATCTGCTTAATCCAGCATTTCCTGCAGGAGTTTGAGAGCAAGTGACTTGCCATGAGCCAGAGACAAAACAGACATTAGTAAGGCAAAATATCTGCAGTGATTCAGTTGGCTTTAGATGTTCTAGATTCACTGCAAGTTTGGGGTGGTTTGTTTTGACCTTTTGTCTAAAAATACTAACATAAAGAGTGGGGTCTTTGGCTGCAGTTCCAGCCTTCTTAGTTGGCTAACCCACTTACTATAAATCTTAAACTTCATCACTTAGACCTCCTTCTGCAAGAAGGATTTCACTGCACAAACCAATAGTTACTTCAGTAGAGCCAAGCACATGCGATGTTTCCATCAGAGGCTTCACAAACTTATCTAGTTCTTTCATTTTAGGCTACAAAAAAACCTTCAGATTCAGACAAATATTTCTCCCTCCTGTTTTTTGCCAGGACATCCAAATATTTCATGTGCGTCCCCATCTAACCATACCACTCTATAAGCAACTTCTCCCAAGCAAAATTTCCATAAATGCAGTCAAAGAACAAACAAATACAAAGAGACACAAGGAAGCATTTTTTTTAAAGTGATGTTCTAGCAATCAAAGTGGGAGTTGAATTAAATCTAAAGCAGAGACAAATGCATTATAAAATTGCCCTATGACTGATTTTTATCTTCCAGTCTCTGGCCTAAAAGTCTCCAGATCCACGGTCTATGTGAGAAGTAGCGTTCTGAAACGTAACCTGCTTTTCCACTTCACCCATATCATCAGTTTTATGACCAACTTCAAGGTGTAGGCAGTCTATTTATACAAAACAGTAAATTCAAATAGAAATGGTACAAAGGGAATTTCTCTTTTTTTGTTTTGATCACAAGTGCAAGTTTCTCACAGTCTCTGGTCACCATCGATTTAGAAAGGAAGCACGACACGCAGTGGATTACGGGCTATGTATTGTTTCCTTCATAAAGGTCATACATTTTTAATCCCAGTGTAAAGTCACAAAAGGAATCAGGAATATTTAAGTGGTTCCAGTTTTCCTGGCAAATTTGTACTAGGAGTACATGCTAAAAGAATGTATTTCCCATCTTGAAAAGTTAGCAAACGTTCACTGCTTCTGGGGCGTTCCTCATAAACAGGAGCTTAAAGACAGCAGAAAGCTCTCCCAGAAATCAGTAGCAGTGCTGCACTGCTGAAACAGGATGCTTAGGAACCGTTTTAGTGGAAGAAGGCCCTTCCACTAAAATTCAATGTCACTGTCACCAGTTTGAACTACTGCACACACACACATCCCCCGTGCGTGCAATATACAGTGAAATTTATGATTAATAATGACAGATATCTTTACTCTCATCATTTGTATTTATGCTTTTTGCATTTCACTAAGCTCAGAAAATTAAAAGAATTAATTTAGAGGCCTATTTTAATTTCTAGTCCTTCCTTAAGAACTTCTTATGAAAATTCATTTACTCCAATCCACAGAATGCTTAGTCCTGCAAATTTAGAGCCATGTGACATTTGCATTCATAAAACCTAATTTTGTACGAGTCTTTAGCACAGTGAATAAACAAAAATGCCCTTCTAAAAGGATGCATCTGGCTTAGACTTGAATTGGGGCAGCTTTGAAGCTGACCGCATAAACTTGTCTCTTTTCTCTACTTCTTCATTTACAAGGATCATACTGAAAAAACAGTATTTTGCCAAATTCTTCTGAATTACAATTGTCAAAATAAAGCGTCACATTAGTCTTACAGACCTTCACAAAACTTGCATTGTCTGCACTGCTTGCATATTTTGACAGATATTAATGATTGCTTGAAGTTTAGGCAATTTTAAGTTTGAGCATCAATATCGAATATAATGAAGAATGGCACCACCCTCTTTCAGAAGGGACATTTAAAAATATCTGCATACCCGGTAGCTTTTACCACGTTATTTTATATTCAGTCCGCATTTAAAGGAATCTATTTATAAACATACGGACCTGCCGCTATGAGGTTCTTTCTTTTCTTTTTCAGTGAAGATTCTTCAGCAGAAAGACATCTCAGAGAAAAACTGCGTGCTTACCAAGCACAGCAAAACAAGCCATTTTAACCCCTAAGTTTTTACAGGAGGACTTAACATTCTGTAAGACACTGTCCTTTAACCAACAGTTAAATTCTGCTCATATGATAGATGTAATTTATTTTAGTTAAAAGCAGCCACTGCAGAAGAGATGGCTTTCAATTATTTAGCTCTATCTTTTGCAGAAATATCCTTGTACTTATTATACTCTTTGCCCTTCACAGTAAATTATTTTTCAAACAGTCATTTCATTTCACATCCGTCAGTCATCAGATGCTGATTATAAAGGGACACTCCCATGGGGGGAGGGGGGGCCAGGAAAACACTTTAGGGACTTCAGTCACTTCTCCCTTTTCATAATTTCCTTAATTTTCTTCCACATCATACCTGATGTGGTCACAGATACCAGTATACTTAATAATAAACACCTCCATTCCAGTAACATGGGAACTCAACTGTTGATCAATCTAACACATTACAGAAATTAAAACTCTTTGGAAAACACAGAATCGCATATTCATACCCTTACCAGGTCGCTTTACCTTCCCGACAGCAGCAACCAACAATGCTGTAAGCATACTCAAGCAAAAACATTAAGTTCCCTAAATTCATAAACAAACACCCTTTCCCTAGGAGCAATTTCCAGAAAGGCTTTGCAAGATCATGGGGTGGCATCCTGCAAAAAGGCTGCAAAGGTTGGCAGCGGTAAAGGTCTTCCGTCTCTCGGAAAGACGAAGCCTGGGCAGTTGGAGCTCGCTGCGAATTCACACTGCAAAACATCCATGGCTGCTTGCCTAAATAATTAAGCAAGCATGAAAAGCAAATGAGTTTTTAAGGAGAGTGTCTGTTGCTGGGGAAAGAGGCACCTGTGGTTATTTGATTCATTATTAACATTTCTACTATAGTAATGCCTGAAGGTCCCAGCCAGGCTGTTTAAATTAACTCAATCAACATACAAATTTGCATAGGGGCAATAAAGGCAAATGCAGTCAACATGTTAATATCTTTAAATGAACATAGAGTATTAAAAGACAAAGCAAATGAGTATCTTCTTTAAAAATTACTCTTTTTTACCCTTCTCCACGCAACAGGCTGAAGCTTTTGGAGGGGGGGTGGGGAGGGGTCTATATTGCAACCAGAATATTACTTTTAACCCCAAAAGACAAACAACGCATGAAAGTACAAGCATGTACCAAACCTGGCTTGTCAGACTGCGGTTCAAGAGGAGACACCAATCCAAATTAAGCTGCTCTCTCTCCAGCTATGCTGCAAAGCATTGCCTTCAGTCTGGGGCCTCCTACGGGAGAGTCTGCTTCTACAGCCTATGTGATTAGCAGGCCTCGTATTCTTCCTCCAACACTACAGCTGTACAGTAAGCCTTATAACACCGATTATGCAAGAAAGTGAAAGAATAATGCGTGACAAACGTAGAGGAATCAGGGAGGTCAATGCTGCTTCAAAATCTACACGTTTCCAAAAATAGCTCACAACGAAGACCCTTCTCGACAAGGAGAAACTGTTACTTGACTGGACAACTCAAAGGGAAGGAAATAGGGGCGTGAGGGTAAAGTTTTGAAGTGAAAGAGAAATTGAAAAATATCTAGACCCGTTTATTAATTTTTCACTTCTTGTGCAACCTCTTCCCTCACCTAGAATCAAAGGATAATTCAGGTTGGAAGGGAGGTCTCCAAGCCCAAGCAGGGGCAGCTATGAGATCAGACTAGGTTGCTCAGGGTCTTGAAAACCTCCAGGGACAGAGACTTCAAAACCTCTCTAAGCAACCAGTTCCAACACTTGACCCTCCTCATGGTGAAAAACCTTTTCTTGATGTCTCTCATTTCAATTTACGTCTGTTGTTGCTCATCCTCCTGCCTCACAGTGCTATAAAGAGCATGGCTCTGTCTAACATCTTTTCAGTAAGCATTAGCCTTATTCAACAGCAGGACACATGGAAGGCACAATAAAAATGATAGTCTATCGTGCAGAAATCGGAGATCAAAGCATGACCAGCATCTCTTCCTGAAATCTTTTGTGACCACATTGCAAAGACTGTACCACTGGAGACGACAACAAATTAAAAAGAAAAAAAAAAGGGGGGGGGGAAGAGAGGGAGAAACTGGCATTCCCCATGATCGGAAAGATAACATTTTACCACACTGAGATCAAAACTTCAGCTACGTTATCCTCCAGGTGGAAGGAATGAAGGTGCTCTGAAACAGATGAGCAAACCTAAACTGTATAAAAGTTGGGCCAAGGCTGGACAAGCTTCTCAACTCTCCTAAACAAGCAAGGCCTGTCAGTGAGACTGCAGTAACAAAAAAGGAAACAAAAGGCCTGATTACAGACCTCTCTAAAGACTATATTTGCAAGTAAAATGCAGTATCTGAAAATACAAACAAGTACTCTCCCAGAAAGAGAGCAATGATTGATCACGCTTCTAACTCGATCAACATGCAGCATGATACTTCACGCTGTACAAGGAAGGAGCCTGACTCGCACAAGCGGTCTTTGCATTTTCACATCATAACGCTTTAAAGTCTAAAAGCACCTGAGGCACATTGCCTCTGACAACACTTCCAACAGGAAGTTTGAGGACAGAGGACATATTTCACCTGAAAAGAAAATGGGAGATTCAAATGCAAAAGGAAAAAAAAAAAGCCATGCTAAACTGTATAGGAAGGCTTTTTTGTTTTTGTATGGGGAATGGAGCACCAAATCCTAAAGCAGCCTTATAAAGACAGGAAGAGAGGTTGCACCAGAGGCACACGCCAGAGCCTAGGAAGCAACACTTAAGATCCATCCTTCCTTTTTTTTTTTTTTTATTTGGAAAAGCTAATCCCAACAATAACGGAGAAAGAACACATGCATCACAGGTCACGAGGTTCTAGCCTTCTCCACAACAGCCTCACTTTTAGCCACCCAACTTTCTGATGTGGTGAGCTGCAGAGAGTCTTGGCTCTCCCAGTGCCCGCAAGCCCCTAGTCAGCAGTCACTGATGCAGGGGGAGCCGCATGGTACAGCACTTATTGCCCCTGCTGCAAGAGGCTAGAGGAAGCAGTGGATGGCCTTTTCCACTGGCTTTCATTTATTCTTTTTGCTGGTAACTGAAGTTATAAGGCTTACTTGTGTTTTTCTATCACATGAAGAGATATAGGAAAGCTTGAGGGTTTTTTATTAGGAAAGTTTGAGGTTTTTTTTATTTTTTAAATGTCCTGAAACATACTTCTCGGTGTTCTGTAATTTTCTCAGCAGCCTCCATGAAGACACTCCATAAGGTTTTACTTAGCAGTGTTCCTCAGAAAATTTCCACCTCCAGCAGCAGCAGAGCTGCCTCAAGTAGAAAATTCTATAGAAAACTTCAAAATTGGCTAGTAGCATCTAAGCAAGAGTTAGTGATACTCAGCTAAAACTCTTTTCTTTTTTTTTTTTAAAGCCTTTCAAATGTCATTTTTTCCTGACAGGAAATAAACATCTTTCTCATTTGACCAAGAAAAACAATGATATGGACCAGTACTATGTACAGACCAGTCAAAAATGTTCAACATATACCACTGCTACTACTTTCTTTTTCTTTAACAGCTCTATCCCAACTGCAGGTTAGAAGAGCTGTCCTTGAAAGAAAAAGATACTTCAAGGTAACAGTACACTATAGCAAATTAATTGCTTTTCTCTCCTAGGCGTACACTCTTTGAACAAAGACTGATCTAAAGCAGAGTCCACTAAAGCTTTCTGCCTGAGTAGTAACTGTTTTGCCACCAACTTCACAGGGAACTGAAGTAGCCAAAGCAAAGAACCACCTAGGGAGCCCTTTGCAGGCAGCGCAACTTCATTTTAGCCATCTATATAGT